GCATCTGAAATTTTACTGACAAGGTCGGAAAAAAGAGTACGGCTCAGTAGAGGACAGAATATACAAACAGTAACTATTTCTTAAGCATCAGTAATAACAATGAATAAAGCAAACTATTGATGCATTTACCGCTTTGCATGAAGTAATGTAATGGCCGAGATGATGATGACATTGCAGCCACAGTGGCTGATCAAATTTCACCCTTTCATCTCGTTTTTTTTTTCCCTGTTACATTCGAGAGCGATTTTTCTCTATCAGTAAGCTTTTGAATTGATGTTTGTAGAAACAGAAGGGCCTGTTTCTTTGTTCTTATAAACGGCCATGATATGTGACAGAGAATATTGCCAGTGAATTTTCTTGAAAAAATTCTTAACATTTTACGTGTATCGCTCATGACAAAAAAAGAAGAAAGGAAAGAAAGAGAAATAATTATAATGTTATCGATACTTTCCACGGCGATTCCAATTAAACGCTTCTAATTCTCGCTTCATTATCCGTGACTGCACGATAGCGTTTTATAAACGTTGTTTAACATTTTTCTTTAAATGAGTAAATGATTTGTTTATATAATATCAAGCTGGACTGTTATTACGTGGAGAAAAGCAAAAACCACTCCCTAGTTACGGGCAAAAATGGGGATGAAGGACGCCTGTTACCCAACACTTCTGCTGAAAATTTCTTACCTCCTTAACAGCTGAGTAACTTCACTCCTGTTGTCACCTGTGAACTGAACTAAGGATAAAAGAACATCAAGTGTACTTAGAAAAAGGGAAACAAAGACCCTAAATTATGTATAACGAAAAACAGGTTGGGATTTCTACGATTCATGTTGCAATTGGTCTGGCTAGCTTTGATCCTTCTTCTAACAATGTTGGCACCATCTTGGTTGGGTGGTCCGATTGTTTACATTTATACAGTGAACAATATTGTCAAAATTTACAGCAAAGGGGTTAGCTTTGATTTTCTTGATTCTTTAAATTGCTTCAAAACTAATAACTCAGCTTATTTCAACCTCTCTTCTGCCCTCGCAAAGGGCATTTGTTATTTTTTTACCATTGAGCTGAAAATTCCCCGCGACCGGCAGATTCGCCTAAAAATGTGAACAAATGCCCCACCTCGGCGAAAAAAACCAGCAAATATGTCAGTTTCTAAAAGCCACACAGAAGATATATACCACTAAATATAAGCTTCACAAATGAAACTCGCCAGCAAAAGAATACTTAATTTAATAAAAATTAACACATAATACGGATTATTTGTTGAGAATTATCCAGATATTTTGAACGGCATAAGACCCGACGCGCAAACTACCTTTTCTCGCCTAAGGTGCCACTTTGTCACTCTTTTGCAAACAGTGTGGCATTTATTAATGATGTTGCCCCACCTATCAAATACTAGCCATTGGAAAGTTGAGGCCACTGCAAAACCCGGATTTGAAATGAACAGTGAACACCTAAGAGAAAAGACCATATATCTCTACGTTTGGGAAGCTTTGCGAAGAATTTTAAAGTGGTAGAAGTAATGAAATTAATAACCACAAACGTCTTGTCCCCTGCTAAGACCTTTAAAAAATGTCCCATCGTGGAAACACATGACTTGACAAACCCCCGACAAATACCCGGGCGACAGAAACGCTAGGGATTGACTGAGTCAAAAAGGTGCAACCGAGAATCTTGCCAACTCTCTCTCTCTCTTTATAAAAACGATCAGGGAAACAATTATGTCAAAACGCGCAACTAGCCAGTTACTTGATTTCTCATTGAACCGAGGGAAAAGTTTTCCAAAAGGACAAGAAGCTAGGTGATTTTTTGGGTTTCTTTGACACTTGCATTGTCAGATGCTCGAGTGTTTTGTGTAACCTCGGGGGGTACTCAAGAAAGTTTTATACAGGAAGGCTCCACCCCGAGGTCTTACCCCTTACCCTTTCATACACCATTTTTGACCAGAGGGCAGACAATTTACATGCACCTTCTATTGAAAAATGGTACCCCTTTCACATACCTACTCTAAAACTTTGCACTCCTTTTAATTGCTGTAAAACAGGAACTGGGCTATTTCACTGTGTCTCTCATATATGAATAAATCAGAAAACCAAAACGTTTTCTCGACTTTTTCACAGACATAAAATGCATCTGTTGATCCATTTGGGCCTTTTCAATAACCGAAAAGACAGATTTCCCTGCTAGTGGAATCACTACTTTTTCATATACCTGAAGCCTGAAAAAGGTACCCCTTTCGAATTCGGGCAGAACAAGCCCGTGGTATAGGCCATTATAGGGAATACCTCCCCCCCGGGGGTGTGTGACATGCTTTTTTGCCTAGTACCATTAAGGCGTGTCATATTTTTCAGGTAACACACTGGGAAATTCGAGCCGTGAATCAGGTGGTATATTTTATGAAGAGAATTAGAAGACGCGTACAATTCATATGTCTTGGTAAACCTTAAAACCTGTCACTCAAACCCAAGCGTCTACAGACTGAGTTAAAGAATCCAGCCCTAAAAATCTTTATTGCGGTAATTTCCATGCAACTTCAGTTTAGGTCCGGCCCCCAAAAAAGTTCCGATAAAAATTTGACTCTGTCGTAAATCTCAATGCCACTTATCATATCGAGGGCAGAATAATTCAATAATCCTTGTGACTTGATTGTTTGTGTTTGTGGCTCGGGGGCAGTGGAGGGTGGGCGGAAACGGGAAAAGTTATGCCCTTTGAGGCTTCGGGACTTGGGCGTAGGGAGCCAGTTTGACGGATTTAAACTAGTCGATTTGCTGATCGGCCTTTGCTTGTGATTTCTTACGAAAGTTTATCATGTCTATTGACAATACTGCGGCTGTGAAGAGACGACCATGGGTATTCAGCTTTTTAACCTCTAAATTAGAAAAAGTGATAATCTTTTCATTTTCCGAGTACTTTCCTGTTTCTTAAAAAATGCAATAGAGCGAATCAAAGTGAAATGTGCGTGATTTTGATTGGTTTAACGAACACGCAACACATTATCAGCCGAAAAATATTGTTCATAACTTTAGGCGAAAGAGACTGGGCAGCTGACAGTCGAACACGTGTGATGCTGTTTCCAAAACGACGAGTGCGTGTTTAAATCTTTTTAACCACTCGCCGATGAAATAAAAAACGAACACTTACCACGCCATTTTTGAGGTCAAACAAAAGTCGCTCTATAACAAACTACACACTCGTAAACTGAAGTAATAGTACAGGTCATTTTAGAAAGGTTCCAATTAAAGCTCCTTCTAATGGTTACGAAGTCGTTAAAATGATTAGTTTAAAATAGGATTGGCGCGCGCTAAAAGGACCTTTGTGGCGTAATCAATTAAATTTCACTTAACAGGAAACATTCTTTCCAAGCGAAAATGTCGACAGAATTAGTCAGGGTCTCTCTGTTTTGACTTTTTTTGGATAAGAATCAAACATGCCTACTCTTATTGAGTTAGAGCAGCTTCTAGACATTGCGCTCACGGCACCAGAAGTAGGTACCGTAAATTTTAACATTTTGCGAGTGTTTCTACAAGAAATTCTGAAACACCTCAACATCGAAAATAAGCCTGTGGATATCGACAACCTTGAAAGAGAACTCAAATCGGCGTACGACTTCATTAAAGATGGCTTTGTTGAAATTAGTTCAAAAAGTAGCGAAAGAACACCAGAATCAGCCCAGAAGCCAAACATCGTCATCATTGAAACTGAGCAAGAGAAAGAGATAGCAAAGGAAGAAACCGAGGAAGAGCAGTCGACATCCGAAACACCTGTTATAGCAGTGGAGGAGAAAAAATCACCGGAGCTCGAGAGGACGCAGGAATCAAAAAGGGCGACTTCATCTCCGAAACCTGGAACTGCGCTTTCTGTACGAGATCACTCTCCTGTAACTCGAAGTTCCGTGTTGTTGGTCGGGCGAACAGATTCCCTTAAGAACTTGAAGAGAATGGTTTCTGAGCTCCAAGAACGAGTGGAGACTCTCGAGTTGCAGCCTGCTCCCATGCCTGATCCCGTTAAGTCTGTTGCGTCCTTAGTTAGAAAAGAAAGCAGGACTCCTGCGCATGACTTTGTGGAATTAATAAACATCAAGCGAAAGCTCGAAGCATCAGAGAATTCTATTGACGGTTTAAGTGAGATGGTTGACGCCCTGACTTCTGATGTGAATGAATTGAAGGAACTCATGGCCAGTGCCAGCAAAGCTCCAGGTTATGCTACCTCCAATAAAGGAGAACTTATTAAAAATTGTTTCGAAGCGCTGAAAGAGGAGAACGGCAAAAATGAAGGTCAGATTGAGGAAATATCACAGCAATTGCAAAAATTGTCATGCAACGAGAAGAAATTAGATGAATTAGAGGGCATGCTTACCGGGCTAAAAGCGGCCATGGAAGAACTTAAAAACAATCAGAATTGTAAGGAAAAGATTCAGGTAAATGGAAAGGACCAAGACCAAGAACCTACAAACTGTGTAACTTCCGATGTTTCCGAAGCCCTACAAAAACTTGAAAAGCACGAGAAGCAACTTGAAGAATTAGCAGCTCAAATTCAGTTAATAGAAGGGAAAATTAACGAAACAGACGCGAGGTTCGGTGGAACAGAGCAAGCCGCAAGCGATGCGTTAGTGAGACTTGAAGCGTGTACCAAAGGAGTCAACGACATCCGAGACCAACTGGCATCATTAACTAGAGAAATCAACAATCACAAGTCACTTATTGAGGACAATGAAATGCAAATCCATCAACTGAAGAATACGATGACACTTCTGCAGCGCAAAAGTCCGGAGAAAGCCAATGAGGGAGCGGAAAAGAGTAAAGGTACGGAGAACTAGACATCCTTATTAGAAATAGCCAATCAGAAGTATGTTGCAGTTTTAATACAGCGTTGTTAGCAACCAGGGGCCGGTTGCTCGAAGCCTGGTTAGCGCTAACCGTTGGTTAAGAGGTATCAAAATGTATAGGTTGCCATGGTATTTAACGCTGGTTAGCACTAACCATGCTTCGAGCAACCCGGGCCAGGGAGTGCTTTATCGCGTTCGTCAAAACGCATTCTAATCTGGTGTTCCTGTAGCACTAAGGCAATAATTCGAGCAAGCACGGGCGACTGCAAATTAGCCGCCCCTACTAATTTTATCAGGAGCACCTCGGCCGAGAAACTGGACTCCTTTGGACTCGATTTCGTTTCCGTAATTTTTCCGTAAGTGACGAACGCGATCCGTAATCAATGATTACCTCTAGTTTTAAGATAATAAGAAAATACCGTATTATATCAGTCGGCACTCAAGATGCAATTAAACTGTAAGAAGTCAGAAAAAACCCGCAAATTGTGTTGAGACTCGAACGCATTGTAGATATTGCGCACAGTGGCTTAAGTAATTATTTACTGCGGCAAGATTAGCTCAGTCGGTAGAGCGCTTCACTGCAGAGCGGGATGTGGTGGGTTTGATTTTCGGGGCCGGACCAAGGTACTCATAACCTGCGAGGACATCCGGTTTTTTCGGCTTTAGCTTGACTCGGAGGGAGAGAAGGGTCTTAAAATAACTGTAAAATTAAGGCACTGCCTTTGCAAACGGCTAGACTTTCGCGTGGCTAGGATGACCACGTAAAATGCACACGCGTCAGAGTCAGATGGGAGTCCCGTCTCTAGTGAGAGACGAAACAATAGTGTCCTCAATTAGTACCCGCGTGGTTAATACATTGATAATTAAATAAAGAGCATTTTTAAAATTATATCGAATGTAACTGGCACCCAGCGCGGAAAAAAATGTGCCACTTAAATACCAAATTCTGCAAAGCAAAGGTCAGTGTTGGACAACGTACTAATCACAGCAGAGATAAATGAAGTGTGTCACTATCTACACTGCAAGTGACAATTGAAATATGTTATTTTTTCCTCAGTAATAATAGAAGAAAAGCCAAAAGAGCCTGCCGAAAAGCCCACTCTCAGGCGCCGTACGCACAGTGTGGACCGAGATGAATTGAGTCTAATTAGGACCATGATCTTCGATCTGCAAGAAGAGAAAGATAAGTTGAAGCAAACAGACATGCGCTTAAGTGACGAGCTTTATAAGAAGCAGAAACACTTGGACGATCTTTATAATTTGATCGATGAGTTAAGGGATGTAAAGGCAGATAAGGAAGTTCTCAGCATGGGCTTTGAGCTGAAAGCTGACAAGAGGGAAGTTGACGCGAAGATCGGACGGCAGGATTTTGAACATTACATGAGCCTTGTAGATCAATCATTGAGGGATCTACTGCAGAGGCTAGATGGACAGGTAAGTTGTTGTTTTATTTTACTACAGTATAGTTGTTACAAACATAGGACTGGTTAACCTAATCTTAGCCTCAGACGTTTTTCTTTTTTTTTTCGACAATTCGACAGCGCGTTAGCGAAGCGAGCCCCGGAGGGCGCGGTCCTATGGCAAAAAAATTCCGCTAACAATTCTCATATCATTCAATCTGCCAATGTGGCAATAAACAAAAAGTAATTCATTATGATAGGCCTTCAATCTAACCTTTTTTGACCTTTTTGCAGTTAGAGAAAAAATTACAAAGCCTCTCTCTCCCTTCTCTCAAGAACTTTCAAATCGTCACTGTTGTCGTTTGGCTACTTTTTAGGAGGACGCGTTGAGGCGAGCTCTTGAAGGACTCAACTCCGATGTCGGTAAGAAGCTAGATAAAGAAGAAGTGGAACCTTTAAAGCACTACCTGGAAAAGCGAATGGAGGCCATGAAACCGAAACCAATAGAAAAGCCCCCTCCGGAAGAGTTGGCCGCAGGGATTCGTAAGCAGTTCCTTGTAAATCACAACTGCATCTCATGTGACCGTCCTGTGAAGTACGCCCGAGAGGGAACCTTTCCTCCATTACCCACAATGCACTCTATGCCAGGATCCAAATCGAACCGTCCCTACACCACTTTCGAGCTGGAGCAGATACGTCAGCACATGCTACAGGGAGGACTGGCGGTGACCAAGGAAAGGTTTGAGCTGTTGGAGAGGCAAAGGAACAAACTACAGAAAGAAATTTTAAGACTCAGGTATGAAAATCCACATACAGGCAAAAAAAAAGTCATGATAAATTTGACAGAAACTGATGATATTTGGTGGATGTGTGAAGCCTTTGTAGGAAGTATGAAAATACATATATGTAATATCAAAGAGAATCAACAAATATACGAAGAAATCTATACAGTTTGACTTTAATGCCAGCGCGTTTCCGTCGAGGTTACGTAACGAATGGGAAGTCCATCCGCGTATCTAGGAGATAAAAAAAGACGCTTGCGATGCATGACACTCGAGGAGCAATTTTAGTCCCCTGCCCGTGGAAGGGGCGCGGCACTCCGGTCATGGGATTATGAACGTAGAAAAAATGCAACTGAAGAAAGACTACCACTCTCTAGCTTTGGTAATTTTTTGGTACATTTCTTTTCTTCCTCATTCCCCAAAAGTGCAATTGAATTAACAAAATCAGCAGCTTTATCCGAGAAAGTATGCAACAGGTGCGAATTTGCCGCGACTTTTACAAAGATACGTTCAGTGTTAGCAAGCGTGATACTTGCAGGAAATTGTAGTGGGATAACGAAAGTCTGCAAGCCCATGTGGAATCTTAAACTTTTTTCTTTCTTGTCTATCAGCGGTGCGCGTAATCTACAAGAGCTGGCTGAAGTCACAACAAGAGCATGCGGGGGAGTCCACACCCTCACCTATCCCGGTCAGGCTGTTGTTCGTGGGTTACAGCTTAATAGGGACGACTTTGACCTCTTACTTCCCCAGAAAGATTTTCAGCCGGTGGATATCCTCGGACAAGATGGACACATATACAAGGGGCTCTTGGAAAGCCTTCCACCCACGCTTCCTCACATCCCGCAGAAGGACAAGTCCCCTGGGATAAAAAATCCCCCACGGAATTTAAGAAGGAGCACTACTCCGTCATCCCCAAGCGTCCAAAAGACTCTCCCGGATGAAGCGGAAAGTTCTTAAATGTTTATCAATTTCTTTTCATTGTGTTGTCGTTCTATAACTTTTCGACGGATTCTAATTTTGTTGCAGTTGCGACAAATATTTTGGAGAAATATTCTTGTGTAAAAAGAAACAATAGTTTGTTCACCTAATTTCGTGGACATCATTCCAAACAAAGATTAGGAAAACTAAGGTGTGAATCAACAAAGGACAAAATTATCTGAAGGAAAATATTTTCTTAAAATACACCATCGCTGACAGAAACGATCTTCTTTGCTTTATTTATTAAACATGACCACTTGAATTCAATATTACTGATAACAAACAAAATTTGATTCACTCTCGTCGCTTTTAAAAGGTTTACAATATAATGTTCTTGTGACATGATTTTGGTTTCATGATTTGTGTGTACAAGTTTTTGTTCTTAACTTTTAGTTATTCAGGAGCTATTGAACCAACCTTCTGTCTCTTGTGAATAAACACTCAGTTACTGACGTGAACCTCCACTGTCACAGTACTATCCAGCGATATCTGAAAGAAATACTGCACACAAGTATTTAGGAAGTTTTGACAGTTGGATTATGAGGGTCGTGGCCTTCCTTTAAAACTTTTAGGGAAAAATTAACAGACTCGTAGCCCTGTGTTAGAGAGCCCATTGAAATCACATCAACATGAGGGCCAAAATACTGCGTAACGTTCTCTATTTTGACTCCGCCGCTTCCTTCGATCAACAAATGAGGAAACTCTTCCTTTAGCACTGCTGCAGCTTTGTGCAGTGCTTCGGGATCGAAGTTGTCTAACATCACCACATCGGCTCCAGCAGTAGCAGCTTCTCTTGCCTCTGCAATGCTACGACATTCCACCTCAATCTTGATAGAAAATCCCCCAACTTTTCTCGCGTCCTTCACGGCGCGTTCAACATTTCCAGCTGTCCATATGTGATTGTCTTTGAGCATGATCATAGACGACAAGTCATAACGATGCGTAGAAACACCGCCGACAAGAAGAGCATATTTTTCCACCATGCGAAAACCGGGGGTTGTCTTTCGGGTTCCTGCAATTTCCCCATGCCACCTGTGCTCCGCTTTGAGTTTCGTCAAATTTCTAGCTTTCGTTGCGATTCCACTAGCTCTTGTAATGCAGTTTAAGGCCACTCTCTCGCCTATAAGAATCCTGTTAATCTTTCCTGTGACCCTGGCCACTGTGGTTACAGGTTCGACCAGTACCCCTTCGGAGAATTCCCACTCCACTCTGCAACCTAACTCTTGAAATACTGCGTCGAAAAACGGCACGCCTGCTAAGATACCTCGGGATTTACATAGCAAGACTGCAGTTTCTTCGCTATCACCTACAACGAAGCCACCGTAATCGAAACTTGGAGTGTCCTCGGCAAGCCAATCCTGAATTTTTTGGCGCAAAGAGGTCGGGTGAAGAAGAAAGCGAACTTTACAGGCACTAGCATCCGCCATGTTTGATGGTTACCAAGCCGTTTTAGCCTGGCTGCCAATTCAAAGCTCGGTTACACAGGTTCTCCCATAAATCCAAGCGGGAGAGTTTATCAACAAAACAAAATGGTGGCGAGCAGTTCGAAAGTTCATGTAGAATTATTTATTTTTAACTTTTTGGGGATCTGCATCTCTCTTGTAAACTCAGATTTTAACTTTGAAGAAATTTATGGCGTTAAGTATGGATTTGAGATTTCAAAGGAACCTGTTCTTCTAAAAGAGGTAAGTTTTTTAACTTCTTTTATTTGCGCCAATGGTGTAACGCAACGTCTTAGCATCTGCTTCCTTACGGGTCTTCCAGCAAGCTGCCTGGTTCAAGAAAGCGGGCACCTGCAGCGAGAAATTAGAATTCCTCGATATGCTAATATTTGTCTATCTTGCTTAACTGGAAAAAAGAGGATCATTGAAAATAGAAAAAAGACTTGAAAAGATATGCGGCGAGCAATTTAAATAGCTTCTGTAGTAACAGTAGTTACGTTTAGATGACAAGCTTTCGACACCGTTTCCGTTTGGCGCATGACGTTACACTAATTTAATACCTTCTTTTCTCTGTTTGTTTACGGTTGATACTTGTTGCACTGTGGTTTATCTACAATCCCAAAAACGCTGCATTCATCAGTTAATGATAGTGAGGGAAAAGTGTTTTAAGGTAGCTTTCTTCCTTATGTCAGGGTAAAGGAAGGATAATATTAAACCCTATTTTAGCTCGTTTTACTGTCTGATCTTTTAAACTATATTTTCTGAAGTTACGAAAGAAATTTTTCCCTTGGTTGTTATTTCTAAATAAACAATTTTACTTTGGAAATTTTTTTTACATTGACCTTTTCTACTTCACAGTTCAGTACTCAGAAATATCCACTCTCACTTTGCTAGAGTCGTTCATGCCATGATTTTATGATCTGTACTTCTGTTAGCTGAGTGACCTTGTTTTTACCCTGAGCTGTCAAATCTCAGACGGCAGCAAAAGGGGAGTCATGGTCCTGTTTCGTTTCACGTGCAAATTTCACTAATCAGGTGTTTTATAAACCAATTTTCACGAGTCATGAATTTAGTCATCAACCTCTCCTGCCCGTTAATCAAAGAGGCCAGCGACCAAAAACACAGTCATCACGGCTGAGACTGATGGTGGTCATATTGAAATATGTCAAAGATTATACTGACCGCACGTGGTTTGTAGGTTCTAGTTTTTTTGTGGGACAAATAATTCACAAATTCCACATATCTTACACGGTAAATCACGCTTCATATCCATACATGGTTTCACAGATCACGTTCGTATTATAAAAAATTTCACGTCACACACCAAATTTTGGCCTCATCACCCTTTGCTACCCTCATCCCACTGATTGGTTGTTATCCGAAATTTCATTGCACCAGTCTGTATAATCTGTGGCTACCTGCTCGGCAGACTGGTGCTTATCCAATCGAGCTAACCGGCTGGTGGCTCGACAGGCGATGGCTCTCTATCTTCATTTCTCTGACAACTTATTTGTATTTCTGTTTTTTAAGTATCTTTTAATATTGACCAGCTTTTTCATTTTCTGCAGAATCCAACAACTGGGAATACAGTGCTGTTATCTTCAAAACATGGACAAAAGTACCAGTGTGTTTTACCTGAATTGGAAACATTAGAGAAACAGAATGAAGATAATCATATTTTATCAAAAGAGGAAATCCCACTGCTGTTAGAGCCTTTGAAGAAAAAATGTTTGTATAATGTAAGTTATAAGTGATAATAAAGCAGGGCTCGAAAAAGAGTCTTGCTTGGTTGTGTGGAACAAGTAGAATCTTTTCTTGCTAAGGAAGTAGGGTCAGCAGTTGTCCAACATGGCAACCACAACTTTCAGCCTGAAAAATTTAGCGAATCAATCTATGCCATCAATCTTCGGCTTCGAAGGGTAGGCATTACTGGTAAATAATAATAATAAGTAACTTCAAAAGCTCATTATTTTGCTAAAAGACTAATGAGGGTTAGGCAAGTCATCTTGCTACAGAATCATTAACTAAAATTCTGAATACAGCTTCCTCTTGTTTTTGTTTTTTCATCACTACCTGTGCACTAGTGATAATAAATAAACCATAATATATCCACAAGTGCCATTTGGAGGGTTGATCTAACCTTAATACCATCTATTAACTAAAAAGCATCAGTGCAGACTGTGTTCACTACAGAGACTTGTCAGTACATGTACATACATGCCATAATGAAAGTTGGTGATCTTAAAAACTCCTGTACATATCTTACATCTTTTTAAACGTCTTGTGGTGTTTCTCCTCCTTGTTATTCTGGGAAAACTCAACTTCTCTTCTCTCTTTGATAAAAGATGTTAGCTTCTGTTGTTTTTCCAAATTTTTGGCGTGCTAATTTTTAACATAAAAGCATGAATTTTGATGTTCTAGGGATACTCATGCAAAACATAATGATTTCAGTGTGATTAAAGGATAATAATAAAATATTTTGTAACTAATCTAATTAACCATAAAACATGGAGTAGGAGCTGGCATCTCGTTTTTGTAATTTTTGAACAGTAAATAAAATTAAAATAAGGGTTGATAGAGAGCCCTCAAATGGCTCTTGCAGAGCTTAACAAACCTCAAATAGTCTACTAGCACCTTGAGAAACCTTACAAGCATGCCTTAAATACTTCTGCAGTTATGTAATGTAGTAAACATACTCTTGTGAAACTAACAAAATGTTACAAAATATATTTTTTGTGACCAGTCTTTTTCTTACCTTGCAGAACAAAGGTTGGTGGACATATGAAGTATGTTTTGGGAAAGGCATTTACCAATATCATGAAGAAGGTACATGTGCCTGTAATGCTTTTACGACATTGGAGGGAGTAATACTCAAGTAGTTATTCCTAATATTCCTAACTTATCTTTGTTTGTTTCTTTTTCTTCTTCCAGCTAATGAAATTGTGGGGGACAAGATCTCTTTAGGTGTTTTTAGTAATGAAACTGACTGGAGCCAAGAAAAGATAGAGAAGGTAAGAATTTAAGAGAAAATATTTTTGTTGTGGTTCAATTTTATTCTTGGCTTAGATTATATTTTCCTTTGTTGGAAATGAATATTATCATATCAACAGGTAAACTAAAGGAAAAATATAATTTACACCAAAGAAAATGAACCGCAAATTCACTTGTATACAGTCACATAGTATGCTTTGTATCACCATACAGTGTTAGCAGCATTGGCCAATCTTGGGAAACAAATGATGAGATGTCCCTTTTCAGGGTGTTCATTAGGCATCGGAGATCGCAGAATTCTCCATTTACCACGCAGAATTCTATGACCAACATTCAGTAGCTTATGACTATTTTTTATTGAGATGTGGAGCCTCTTTCAAAATAATGTCCTGTAATGTTACACCTTTCTCCTGCTACTAGGATTCTTAATGAAAACCCTCCCTTTTTCATATTTTTCACAAAAGAGAGTGCTCCCTATAAGTTCATTGAATGTAAAACTGCAGTGAGCAGCTTTTTCATTATTCATCAGGTAAAACCTAAACCAGGAAAGAACACATCTCTAAAGAAGTTTCACTCTCAATATTATGTGAATGGCAGTGAGTGTGATTTGACAGGCAAAGCAAGAGAAACACAAATCAAGGTATTTTGCATCATGACAGTTTTAACCCCAATATCAACATACATATTCTCCAGACTAATCTCCATACTTTTCCTAAAGAATTAGTAACGAGAATTGTATTGAAGATCAAAAGGTTTTCCCTTTTGTGATCATTTCATTAAATCTTTTAAACTTTTCTCTTGACTCTGTATTGATATTATTGTTAGAAGAAAATTGATTTTGGTCATAAAGGTTTAAATTTTTAAAACCAAAATAATTAATGATGATGGCCAAGAATGTCCTAATAAGTGGCAGATAAGTCAGTAAGTTCAGTGTTACTACTTTTCCAAAGTCTTTGCATTTGAAACGATGTTAGAGATACTTCAAAAATCGTTTTTGTAGTAAAAAACATACACTAGGCAGCTTTTACATACCACCTCTTATTTGGTTAGCTGTACATTTGTTTTCTTAACTATAAATTGACATCAGTTCTTTATGTTGTTGTTTATTTAAGATTTTCTGTGAAGAAGGCAGTGCAGACCTTGTTTTAAGAGTAGATGAGCCGTCATCATGTTTCTATGTGATCACAGTTTACACTGGCAAGCTGTGCAAACACAACCTGTTCAGGTCATCAAATGCACAGGAACCCCAGCCTATCACCTGCTCACCTGCCCTATCAGAAGATCGCTATAAGATTTACATCGAAAAAGTTGGTTAGTGAACATGTTTACAGGTTATTGTTTTTTGTAAGTGATATTACCATAAATGTGTAAAATCAGGTCTTTGTGACGACAAATACAGAGAAAACTAATTCACATCTCTATATGGGAGATTCTGATATTGTGCTTAAACCTACATTGTACATGTACTCAAAAGAGTGTCCAAAATCAAACTAATTATTCCACAATTGATAGTCAAACAAGGGCTTGTGATACGATCAGGCCTTCTGATGCATGTAGGTGTGATGAGAATCAGAAATTATGCAGCATTTTACAGGGTAGCCTGTACGAAGAGAGAAAGGCCTGTTGGATGACAAGTTACCCTATTTCCTCGAATAACAGCCGTCCCTAGATGAATTGCCTCCCTCAATAATCGCCCCCCTTTGATGGAAATATTTAGAATAATCACCTCCCTCGAATAATCGCCCCCCCCCAACCCCCTCTCGCCATCTTCTTTTTCTTTTTTCCCCTCCCTGTCAAGATGAAGAGGAATCTGATCCAGCAAAACTTATCAGTGATGATTCAAGCTTTGAAAATTTATTTAAGGAACCACATTTGGAACACTTTAAAAGCTCATATTTAGTTTATTTGATGTGATAATGTTTTGATTTATAATGGTAATTGAACTGAGTGGAGTGCAATTTTGTCTGAAATCATACGCGTGATTTCAAAATCGAACGAGCGCGCAGCGCGACTTTGATTTGAAATCACAAGTATGATTTCAGACCAAAATTGCACGACACGAAGTTCAATTACCACTTTATTACATCCATTTTGAAATTGCAGAATTTAGTCAGTACTAATATTTTATTGATCGAGTAGCCGTTTTGTTAAAAAGCCAAAACAAAAAAGCTTTTACATCTCATTTTGTATTCGAAACAGAAATGATGCGATATAGAGCAAAAATGGTGCGATTTAAAACAGAAATGATGCGATTTAGAACATGAATGACGCGATTTGGAACAGATGCGATTTAGAGTAAAAAATGGTGCGATTTAGGAATAAATCACACTGCTGAGAGCCAATCAGATTGCACGGATAGCCGGTGATTTCAAAGTGGATGTAATAAAGGGGATAATGAAACAAAAAATTTAGGGCATGACTTACAGTGAGCAGTATTGAAATAATCACCTCCCTCGACTAATTACCTCCCTTGAATAATCGCCCCGGCTATTATTTGAGGAAATACAGTACACGCAAATTATGCAATTTTTTCTCGCACAATGGACCTTTCTTTTCCCACAATCTGCCCTGAAAATACTGCAT